CATGAAGATAGAGAAGGGAATATACTCAGGAACAATTCCAAACAAAACCTATTCCAGTCATAATGATACATTAATTACAAGATATGATTGGCAAATCTTGTTTGATTGAAGAATTTTTTAAGAAAGAAATAATCCTGCCAAATACATGAGCTTACCTCCTTAAATGTGAACTTTTCATTTATAACTAAAGCCAGAACTAGGCATGGTAATGCAAGAACGAAGTGACGAAAAGTGTGTTGGTCCTTGTCATAAGATCTACGGACAACTTGTGTCATCTCATGTACCAGACAATTGAGAACAAGCTCCCCAAGAAAATAAGTTTCATCGTCGTATTATAGACTGAGACAAAATCAGTAAAAATATCCAAGTATCGAGTGGCAAAAACAAGGGCATAAAGCTCTTGTGTCTTCAGAGAAATGCCCGTGAGAAAATGACATGAACCATGTCAAGTTATACACATACAATAAAACCAACTTTATGTAGTGGAAAGAGTTTTTTTTTCCGAAAAAAAAGGATCAAGATCCAAAATCCAAAATCTTATGTCATTGACATGAATCTCCATACAAGATCCAACATCCAAGTATCGAGTGGCAAAAACAAGGGCATAAAGTTCTTGTGTCTTCAGAGAAATGCCTGTTAGAAAATAACATGAACTATGTCAAGTTATACACATAAAATATAACCAACTTTATGTAAAGGAAAGAGTTTTTTTTAAAACAAAGATTAAAAAATCCAAGATTAAATACACCAGAAAGACAATCAAGATCCAAACAAGAAGTAGCCACAAAATAGATGTCAAGTTTGAGAGTTAGTTCATTTGGAAAAATAAAATCTTTATGATATCTAGTAATACTAGAAACCAGTTGTAATAACATACATTGAAGAGAATCACTTAGGAGGAATAACTTAATCATGAGGTTTCTTATGTTGATAAAGCAACCAACCAGAATAGATTATTGATGGTCAGTTAGATTCAGAAAAAGATGGATAAAAACTTGCATCAGATTAAGGGAAAATAATACTTCATTCTGACTGAGAGATAGTAAATTATCAAACTGACAAATAAAAATGCATTTGTGGTCATTACCTTTCAAGAGAAGCACACAGTTGCACATGCATCAAAATGTACTTTCCCAAAAAATCCATAATTAGAATGACAACATCGAGGAGAAAATACAAGACAAGGAAACAAGTGAGCAAAAAGAAAAAAAAAAACAAAGAATGGTACACAAAATGATCAGGAAAAGTGATCATATACCTCTTGTTGGCTCTGATGATGAGAGGTATAAAACTTCATGGTTTGTTTGAACATATATTCATCAAGAGATATCATGTATTAAAAACATAAAGGAGGTGAAGCAAATCAGGGACTAGCTATTGTGAACCATATGACAAAGTTACAAGAATGGCAAGCAAAATTTTATATCAGTTCATCCTTATTGCATCTCATTTATGATTTAACTATGTCAATAGCAAATAGTGATATGGTTTGTAAGACAAGATGAATTCTTAGAACATGATAGAATCTGAGTAGTTGAATATGTAGATCATACATGGTCGAGCCAGTCAAATAAAATATAGTTAAATGCTCAAATGACCATATAAAAAAACAAAAGAGATATAAATAATACTGAAGCCATCAGTGGATGGAAGAGAAAGCATTATTCCTTGCATCTTTCCTTTCCTTTCATTTTTTGATAGGATATGTCACTCCTATCGAGCACTTCTCAAATTTAAAAAGGAAAAAAAAAAACTCTACAAGAATGAATAAGACAGGGAGTTCTGAAATTATAAATATTTTATTGTACAAATATAATAACCAATCATAATCATGTCTCGAGAGCTTTTAGTCGCTGATAAACATATAGCTTACTGAGAGACAGTATTTGAGAGAGTTTTAACTTTTGTTATTTTCTCAATTTTAAGACCCGCCAAAAAAGACCTCTAGAAGTCCCCAGTTATGAGTCCTTGTAGCTAAACAACTAGCTAACATGCTATATTATTTTAGTACTCTTGACGCAAAATAAGCTCCAAATTGCACTCCTCATGTTTCCTAAAATCTCAACTAAAAAATGATAATAATACAGTTAAAATTTAACAGAACAATAGACGACACTTATCAGATATCACCATCATGACTTAGTGATAGAGCTTCAATAATCCTTTCCCTAACTTGATTAGGAGGGTTGGCAAGGCTCTGGTCACGCTGTAACACTTTCTTTACTGGTGTAGAAGAGCTTTCTAGTGTCTTAGTTCTACTCTTTAGCAGGGCATAAATAGGCCACAGGCATCCAGATCGTGACCTAACTCCACGGTCAGACGTGATCTGCTCCACTCTATCAAGAAAATAAATAGGATGCTTCGAAGATCTCTCCTTCCAGCACCAAATCCTAAAAGCCTAACTATTCAAATCGGACTGCAAGCGAAACCAAAGACGGAGAGGGAAATACGTACCGGGACTTGATGGTGTGGATCTTGAGGAGAAGGACGAGGACGCTCATGAGATGCGTCATGTTGCCCGCTAACCTGAAGATATTCATTTCCGGCGACCGGCCGGCGGGATCCGAGCCGTGCGTTCACCGATCTACGGGATTTACGGCGGGGATCGATCGATAGAGACGGAGATCGGCGTTCCCGTCACTCGCAACGGCTCTTAACCTTCTCTTCTCTTCGCGCCTCGCGTCTTCGTAACGAAGCCGGGATGGGAAGAGGAAAACTAGAACGAAAAGAATACCCGTGCTTTCGTCGAATCATATCAGTACTTCCAAACAACTTAACCCCGTCGCTTATCGATGGTAGACAAATAGTTCGCCGTGAAAGATGAGTTTTTGTGAATCTTGATGTCTTCAGCTCGCCGGGAAACCGTGTTTCTTCGACCGGAAGTGGAATAGGCATCCGAATACTTAGTCGGCACACATGAGTCTTCTCAGAAGCATTGCAATTGTTGACGTTGCGTGCACATTTGAAGGATGAATTTGACGCAAAATTCTTTGAAGATGGAGTTGATAAGCTAAAGATTATATTTTTACTTGAAAATAAATATTGATGAACGAAAAATATCCTGTGTCAATCGAGGCCTAATTATATATTTTTCCTTCCTTATATTTCGATTCTTATATTTTAAAAAAACTATATTACGTTATAAAGTGAAATATTTAATTTTATTTATTCTAATAGTAATGGATGATGCATTATGTGCAGATACAAAAATGATGGGTAAAAAAATAATTTTAACAATGATGGTGATGGACAATGACTTCATGGGTCGTTATTGTTGTGATAGTTGATGACAACGATATGATGGTCGGTCTTATCGATATCGATCCAAACATCGACAACAAAAGAAAAAAGAGGTAAAGCAATAGGGCATTTGGCCTCAAAGGAGGAAGATGAGAGAGGTGAAGCATCGACATTGCACTGCTTTACCTCCTCTTCCTCCTCTAGCATTATTCTGTATCGTCGTCGATGTTGGAGGACGAAGAGGAGGTAGGTAAGGTGTTTGCATCACTAACAACGTGGAGGGAGGAGAAAGAGGAGGCAAGTAAGGTAGAGTGGTGCAGCACCGATGGAGGAAGAGGAGGCAAGAGATGCATTTGCATCGATGTCACACCGCTTTGTTTTCTCTTTGTTCTCGTCGACCATGGTATTGTTCGGTGTGGTACCGAACTACCTCTTTTACATCAACAGCGCTGCATCGCTCTGCTTCCTCTTTTTTATCATCGACCATCGCATCATTCGGTGTGGTGTCGTACTACCTCCTTTACGTTAGCGTTGTACCGCTTTGCCTCATCTTCATTCTCGTTGACCAATGCATAATTCGGTGCAATACCACACTACCTCCTCTTCGTTCTCGTCAACCACCACATCATTCGGTGTGGCGTTGCATTGCCTCATCTACATCGATGTTAGACCACTTTGCCTCCTCTTTGCTCTCATCCACTATCGTATCATTTGGTATGGTGTCACATTGCTTCCTTTGCATTGGCACCGTACCGCAGTGCCTCTTCTTCGTTCTCACCGACCATCGCATTAATCTTGTTGATCATCATCACAACAGTCATCCACGGTGTCACAATCCACTACCACCATTGAAGTTATATTTTAGTATATTATTTTTATATCATTTATGCATGTACTATCACGTGCTATATAATATCTTTCGTCAATAAACCAACGATGGGATTAAATAATTTAATTTTATAATTATAAAAATTATAATATAAAATTTTAAAATTTTAAAAAAATAAAAAAATAATGAAAAATTGTGTAATTAGCCCGTCGATCAGAATGACGGCTATCTCACGCAAATCAAGCGTGGCCTATGTTCTCCTATACAAACTCTTTATGTGGTGATATCTTCACGTCCATATCATGTCAGTCTCTCTCTTCCAGGTACAGGTTGAATGTATTGTGGTGCCTCAATGACATCGAGCCCGTGGCTCCCTAACGAATGGGACACCTGCGAGGCCATCAACATGGCCTTCCTTTTCTTCTTTCTCTTAACAGTTGAGAATCCTCGCAGAATATAAATTACGATTCCGTTGATGTTCTCAACATCCATCGAAGATTCCAAGAATTCAAGTAACACATTTTTTAAAAGAAAAGAAAAAAAAAAACTGATCCATGACGATGTATACGTTTGAAGTAGACTACTAAATCTTAACCGTTGGCTAATGGATCAACGATCGTAAATGTATACTTCCTTTCCTCTTATGGAGACGGATGCGAAACGGACTAGTAGTAGCCGTTGGTTTACAGATCAACGTTGGAAATGCATCCGTGGCGATTGCGTTTTCTTTATTCCTTCGTCTCTCGGCCTTTGGCGGCCGCTGAGGCGACACAAAGGAAACAGCCTCCGCATCACCCTCCTCCGCAACGGCTATCTCCCCTCATTAGTTTGATCTCCTTTGACCCTTCTTTTGTAGCGTATGGATTTCCACGGCAGCAGTGGCAGCAGCATCAATAACATGTGAGTCACCATGCTCCTTCGATCTTTCACGAACATAATTTGATCCCGATGCTTTAATTTCTTCTTTGCATTTCGATTCTCTTTCTATTTTGTTCGATCTGTATAATCTGCATATGTTTTCGCATCAGTAGTTCCTATTGCTCGATGCCTGTCTCACCGTAGTAAGAATGCATTGATCTTGAATTGGGAATGCTACCATAATTCATCGGTGTTCTTGCTTCGATCAGTATACTGTTTGATGATTTGCCCGTACAAGTCGCATAGTCTTGTTAAGAAATTAGGATCAGCATCGCTAGAATTTATTATCGGTGGTTTACTGGATTGCTTCTGAGCTTCGAAGGTAAATTGTAATTATCAACCAAACTCATCTATCCGCTTCAGATGTAAAATCCTTACTTTGCTCTGGAATTGAAATTCCACGGACCAATCGATGCTTGTTTTCTGCTAATGTCATGTGGAATGTGTGGCAGTGGTATGTGGGACTGGCAAGACGAAGATTGTTGCCTGGCCAGAGATTCCCGGCTTGGTGTGTTGTTTGTCTTTGTTGTTATAAAACCATCTTATGTGGAAAATTTGTTACTTGTACTTATTGACCATATCTGGTATCCACAATCATAGGTTTGTCTCATTGCCCGTGGGATGACGATAACCAAAAAAATGAGAGTCTGCTGAATGTCCTGGTGAATCAAACTCCAATTAGAGATTGTGGCTTGGATGTCATTGATGCAGGTATGTCTGTCATCTTCCACTTCATTCTACATTAGATGGTTCTAAGAGCTACATTGACAAGAGAGAGACAGTCGCAGGTAAGACTAAGAGAGGTCTCGAAGAACATAAAGAGGCATCACAAGTAAAAAGGCGTCGGGTTCTACGATTTCCTTCTGTTGCTGACGGTGCCACAGCTGACAATGGACAGCCGTCTTCTGCACCAGTACGTTCCAAGGTCTTTAATGTAATAGTATGAAGTAGAATAACTCTCCTAATTGGTCCTAATTAAACTAAATCATAACTCGCTTGCACTTAACATTCAGGGTGACTCCATGGTAGTAGATGGATGGCCAGAAAATTTACAGTGGAATCCCATCTGGAGTTCAGGTTTTTCATCTCGGCCTGGCATGTTCTTTTTTTTTTTCCTTCATCTTAACTGATGCAGATGTATTTTAGCTATTCTGATTATGAAATCCATATCAGGTGATAGTTTTCTGTTTAGCAATGAAGTCTTGGACCAATCATCAGATGAGTGGCTAGAGAACTATTTTAATGATAGTGATATGTATTGCAGCTCTAATGAAATGTCAGTTCCTTCTACGCTTACTTCTACTGCTTTGTCCTTTTTGTCCATAACCTGAGGTTGATTTTTTCACGGTAGGTCTTCCAGTAACAATGAACGTATCGAGCCCAATGATCAAGTTGATGTTGCAGGTTAGTGGAGAACTCTCCATTTTGTTTGTAGGCGAAAGCCAATCATGGACACCATTTTCAGAATTTCAATTTGTTCACACAGTGAGACACTATTATTTGGCAATATTTTCAACATCTCCTTTGTTCTTCACAGATTTCTGCAATGTAGAACCTGATACAAGGACTATTGTCATCCCCAAAACCCCCAAGGCTTCTACTGTTAAGATTTTTACGGGTATCTTTGTGGTCTCACTCAACCGAGTTAGTTTGTTTTAAATATTTAGGGGTTTTGCCTTTCAATGCTTAATTCTCCTCACTGTCTAGTAATTTTCTCACTCTTCTTTCAGGTAGAAGATCTCATATCAATTCTCCCATAAAGTTAACTACCTCTGTTGCTTATCCTTTTAGCCTCGTGAAACCATCTGAAGTCCAAGGGCACTTGACCTTGAAAGACATAAATCAGCGGATTCATGCTCCGCCACCATCAAGATCAATCGACAAGAAGGACAATAACCCTTCCATTATTTATCCAACCTCTGCTTTTTCTGGGAAGCCTGTGGTTGTGAAAACTAAGATTCTCACCCAAGGGGGAAAAGGAAGCATTACAATCCTAAGAACCAAAGGCTGAGCAGGTGGCCTTCTTTTAAATAAGATTAGCAGTCAGCGAATGTGCTGAGGCATCACCAAGATCCTGATCACCAAAGGCTGACCTCATAGGTCCAATTCTAAATCATTTTTTGTGCATGGCATGTCATCGATTCTTTGTTTCTGTCAATTTTATTGATTAATTTGTGGGTGGCAATTGTGTTGCTCCTGAATGGAATGCGTTAACTTGCCTTTTGCTGGGTCTAATTTTGTGTACTTGGGCATTTGAGTGAAACAATAGAGTCCTTTTGATTAAGAAAAAGATGGTATTGTTCTTGAACAAGTTTGCTTTTCTCCTGATTGTTTTAATTGTGAAAATTTTCCATATTGTTATCTGTGATAAATTGGGAAATCCAAATGGCATCACTAACTGGGCGGTTCGGTTCATTGATGGGGTTGGCAATTTCTTATAAAGTTCATATGCGTCTCTGGGAGCAACGAGCAGTTCCTAGTTTTTTTGTTTACAGTGAAAATGCTGCTTCTTGATCAACACAACTGAGGATCTATAGCCGAGCTAAATGCCCAGTGAAGGAAAAGGTCAGCTTTCTTAATGAAGATGAAACATTTGAAAATACTTTTGAGATCCATTTCACTGAAAAATATAACGATATCAAGTGCCTACCAGATAGTTCGTCTCTCAATCTCCTCCTAATCATGCCGACTCGTGAGGCTTCCCCTATGGACGATGGTAGCATGATAACTGCAATGGCATACTTCACCTTGGTTCATGAGGCATCATCGTTCGTACGCCCTTACAGGGCAAAGAAAAGCAGGTCATGTGTCTCTTCATAATTCAATCTTCTTCAAATATACAATTCCTGGAAGGAGTTCTCCGAGCGAACACTTTAAAGCACAGGCTTGAGACACACGCAGCGGCTGATCTACTTGATGTAGTAGGGGAGGTCGAGTACATAAAGAAGAAAGTAAGCCCAGACGACGCCGGAGATCCCTCCGAAGAAGAACCCGCCCGTGAATTGTGCCCACCCCTCTGCCGTCTGTAGCTTGTCCGCCTCCTTCTTCCTGCCGGTCAGCGTCAGCGTCGGCGCCGTGGACGGCTCGCCTTCCTTGAACGACGCAACCCCGTACATGGTCAGGCAGATGCTGAGGATCACGACGAGGCCGGCGGCGGCCAGCGATCCCGCAGCTCCGGCGATCTCGGTGTTGCGGAGTGGCCCGGCCTTGACGAAGGGCCCCACGAGGAGGTAACCGTGGGCGAGGCCCACCTCGACGCCGCGAAGGAGCGGGCTCACGGCGGTCCGGTAGGCAGGGAGGTTGGACAAGTACCAGGCGATCAGCGGACTGGATGTCACCGGCGTCTCCAGGCTTCCGATGAAGGGGTCGCCGTTGATCGGCTGGATCACTTGGTAAGTTGGCTGTGGCAATTCAGATAAGAGAAGTGATGAAGGCGGGAATCATTCCTAAGCAAAAGATCGACATATGTAGAAGACTTGTTTCTTGCCTTCTCCGCTTGGATGGCTCTAACCGTGAGACAAAGCTTCTTCCTGGAGTGCAGGTCTCTTAGTGGTGTGGCCGACAGGCCTCTGGGGATGACAAGACGCCTACTGCTCCTGCAGGAAAAGAGAAGGCTGCTCTTCAACTGGCTGGCCATGGGAGGGGCAGAAGCCAGTGCCATTGTCGTTCCTGCTGCAGTTCTCACTCGAGCACGCGGGGAGGAGAATGGAGCAGACGAAGGACTCGGGAGAGTCTATATCGGAAACGGAAAAGGATGCAACGTGAGGAAGAAGTAGAATCTAGTTTGAAGTGAGGTGTCGGAACACTGGTCTCTCATTGGATGGGTGAGATCCCCAACCCTATCCTTATCCCACAGCGGAGATTGTGATGCTGCTCTCTTGTGCTATGTGGCCATTGTTCATCACCTCACAATCGATGTCGATGGCAAAAACTAGTTAGTATATGATTTTTCTTCCCCTTTGAATTATGCTTATAATTGTATCATGATATTGGTGGATGCATTATGGTCAATGTTTCTAACCAGACATTAGAATAATGATGACGTTTTATGTCTAATTAACGATTAATTTATTAAATATTCCATCTATTTACGATGAAGGGCAGTGATCGACGGGGGGATAAAGCAATCATTTCTGGAAAAACAAAAAGTGTTCTGTCGAAAATTTTCGCCACGTTATGGGGAAAAAAAAAAAATCAAAATTAGAAGTTTCTTTCTGGGCGAATTCGCTTAAATATAAATACCAAAAAAAAAAAATCTGACTTTGGATAAGCAAAGTGGTCAACATTGAGTTCGTGTCGGACCCCAATGTTTAGGTCAAAGTCCTTCGACTTGGGCTAAACTTAAAAGAACGACGGAGGGAGGAGTCCACCACGACGGGGAGATACTCTTTCTTCTCACCCCAAAAGAGATAGCCGGCTCGTTCCAGCGCTCAATTACCGAAGCGATGGCTAATTGCCGAAGCAACGCTGCCGGGGGCCGCGGCGGAGACGAAATCGCTGCCCCCGAGGAAGCTGTGGTTGCGTTCGCCAAGCTCCAGGGGGACGACTTCGAGTACTACATGCAGACGTACTCGATCGTGCTGGGCCGCAACAGCAAGACGTCGGAGGTGGACGTCGACCTCGCCTCCATCGGCGGCGGCATGAGCATATCCCGCCGCCACGCCCGCATCTTCTACGACTTCCCTCGTCGCCGCTTCGCCCTCGAGGTCCTCGGCAAGAACGGCTGTTTTGTCGAGGGCGTACCCCACGCTCCCGGCGACCCACCCGTCGAGCTCGACTCTCAGGACCTCCTCCAGATGGGGGAAAAGCGGTTCTACTTCCTCCTCCCTTCCCGCTCCGTCTTTGCCGCTGGTCCCGTCCCCCGCTGCCAGCCCCCTGCCGCTCTCGCGCCAACCGCTGGCCGTGCCAGGCCGCGCGACTACGGGAATGAGGTGCATGGTGGTGATGCCGAGGAAGAGGAGGAATATGAGGAGGAAGCAGGGGAAGATGAGGCTAGGCGTGCAGTAGTTGGTAGTTCAGGGAAGAGGCGGAGGAGGGATCTTGGTGAGGAGAATGTGGAGGAATTTGGTAGGGCCGAGGAGGCTGCACCACTGCGACACTCGGGTCAGTATCAAAACCCTCTTCTTTTTCATTGCTTCTTAGTAAATAACATCAATACTTGCCTTTGTTGCACTATATTTCTGTGTTCTGTTCTTGGATTGTCAATGGATAGATAACCAATCTAGAACCAATGACAAGAAAAGTCTTAGGACCGATCAAAAAAGTTATAATTCGGAAATGAAATTTGGTAAAATTGGAATATTTGACATTGCTGATTTATTAATGCACTTATTTTCTAGGAGTCATTTCTATAAATGTAGCCTTGAAACACTCATGACTCATATATTACAGGAAAAGTTAAGTCATATACAGTTAACCATATTTAAGAGTACAACCCTTTCCCTCTATTTTATAGAACCTCAAATTAATAGAAAAGAAAAATTAAAAAATTAAAATTAAAAACAAGAAAATTATGTTCCTTGCGCCATAGCTATTCGGTCACCCTTCCTTTTTCAGAAAAGATGTACTTCCAAATTTGTTTTGGTAGACAAGCTTCCATTTTCACAGAATATTTGGCTGATGGGTCTCGATACCAGTTGAGGTTCTCATATCCCTCGTATCCACATCGAGCTAGATTTTAAGCAAGGTATATTTTGTCATTATAAAGCTGTATAGCTGTTCAAGATGCCATATAATCATACTCATATTACCTTGATGCCGTTAAGCATATAAGTACTTGAATGATACGAAGGAGATTATCAAGCATCCCACTCTATTTAAACCTTTAATCAAATTTCACTGTCGTATTGAAAGTTCCACTAAGAATTTGGCAATATACCTGACAGTGAAGAAGCCCGAGACAAGGTCAAGGGCTGACAGAGAAGCGGACAATCAACAACTCCTGCAATTGGAAGAGAAAGATGTCATCTCATCTGTGACGACTTTGCTATCTAATCTTTGTGGCCCAGGAGAATGGTTGCCTATGGAAAAACTTCATGCAAAGGTTAGTTGATAACTGATCTGGCAAATGATTGTGCTTCTTTGAGTTACTCTGTGTATTACAGTAGGCTTTTATATTTGCATTTCTGTGGGGAAAAAAAAGGCTAATCATAGTCACAAGAAGTGGTTGGCTGATTTGTTGTGATTTCCTAGTGCAGGACCATGCTATTGCTTAATGCTTACTACTACATGAACATATCTAATTGGAATTAGTGACTAATATAGAAATGTATAAGGATGCAGCAACCAAAAAAGAAAGTAATCATCTTTTCTTGGATTCTTTATCATTGCTATTATATTCATGTAAGCGGAGCCAGTCCCATGCACATTTTTATCTTTGGTAAACTAGACATTTTGATGGTTGATTTTACTTATTCACAATGAAACTTGAGAAGAAAGCCTACATTAGATCTACACCCAAGAAGACAGTAGAGTTATAAGGTTTCAAGAATTTTTATCGCACTTTGGAGATTATTAAGGAGTTTAAATGGGTATCTTCGTGATAACTTGATGCTCTGAGTTGCAAAGATGAAAAATTCTTGCATGTGAAAGTAAGGAAATTAGTACCGGTAACATCAACTTGATAGGCCATTCCATTCAATTTTCTGGTTAGTAAGTTGTAATTTTGACAAGGGAATCAAATAGTAGGAGTTACAGTGGATTCTTGGGGTTGCTAGATGCGGTCAGCTTCAGGTTCAGATAGAGAGATAGGGCAGATTTGATTGGGTTAAGAAAATGCAAACCCATACTCAACCCACTTGGGTTTGGTTCAGGTGTAGGTTAACCGCCTAAACATATGTTTGCAATATTGATGATGATGATGATGATGATATTGATCGGGCAAATTACAGTCTATCCACCTATCTTGGGTTCATCTGTACTTAGTTAATATGTGTTTTTAGAAGGATCACTCGGCACACCTGTGTTATCCTCCATCCTCATCCTAAACCTATCGTTGCCCACCTCACTTTGAATTATTATGATAGAAAAATTAGTAGTATGTAAACTTTATATTACTTGTAGAAGGCTAAACTAGGTTTTGTACATCCAGAACGTTGCAAAACACGCCAAAAAACATAAGTGAATTAAGTACATTTTGTGTTGACACATATATGATATTGGCAACATGGTCGTGATTTGTATATTGTTACACAATTAATAGATCTCATTGTTCAAGTTTGCCCATATATTTTTTTAGAGGATATGGACTTAGATATAGATAGAAGTGGATACTAAATTCTAAAATCAGGATTATCAACATGGAAATCTTATAATGGTCACCACAAATGAAAATAGATTTTGAGCAGCTAGAGCATAAAATTGATTGTTTTTCTCTCTCATCAGAATATCATCTAATTGTATGCCATTTTGAAGGTTTCAGATACAGTGAAGACCATGTTGCATATCTCATACTGGAGCAATTAAACTTTTAACAGGCTTCCTCATATATCTCTTACTGCATATCTCTTTTGGCCCTGTTCTGCTCGGGTAGTCACTAAAGATAGATGATATTAGTTATAATTTGAAACAGACATCATGGATGAATTGGTGCTCGCTAATTGAATTCTGCTAAGAAAAGTTGGTTCAGGGGAATATAAAATGTAATGCTACAGAAAACTTTTGACAATTCCTGCACATTGTATAATTGTTTGATTGAAGAATGTTTTTGATCTGTTTTGATAGTTTTGCTGTCTTAAAATATTTAGTTAAATCCTTATTGTTTCTAAAGATTTCCTGTGAGTCTCTAAAATTTGTCAAGGTTAAGATATCCCATGGTTGAGTTATTGTCTATGACTATCAAATTATTGAATGGTTAATCATTTTCCAGGTATTTTGTTCATCTGATACAAGATCAGTATTTACAAATCTTATATCAATAACTCGTTGCTGATTAACTGCTCGTCTTTAGTAGATACCTAATCTTAAATTTGTCATGTTCTAATATTTTACTTTTCTTCTGATCCAGTTGTTTGAAATATATGGTGATGTATGGCATCACAGCCGAGTAAGAAGATACTTGACATCTGAAGACTATCCTGAAAGTGAAACAGAAGGTAGACCTTGGTTTGGCCTATTGATGCTGCTACGGAAACACCCAGAGCACTTTGCAATTAACATACGGTCGAAGGGAAGGGCGAAATCAGAATTTGTTTCGTTAGTCTCATTGCATTGCTAAGTATCTTCTGGAATCGTCTTATGTAGCTCCATAAAAATAGGTGGAAATAATATATACTTTTGCATTGGCATCTTGTTTCCCTTTGCTTGCTATACTGGCACAGGAATGTCAAAATAAAACATGATTTCCGAAACCATCAGCAATTACTTTTTCCTATTGTTCATCCCAGAAAGATAAAAAGTCTATAGCTACCACTAGATTTCAGGCACCATAACAAATGATCATGGCATGGCATCTGCAGTTGTTGTATGGTGGAGCACCCAGTTACTGCAGTTAGTGATGTAGCAGGAGTTGACAGAATCATTTATAAGCTGTTCATGAAATTTAAGTAGATTAAATTTTGACCAAAATTTATCTCATCAATTGGATTATTACGATAGTCTTGAATCCTATGATTGTTTTTCACATTTCTCTGTTACAGGGTTTCCAATGATTAAGTTGCTTGCGTATTGTATTGATAGTCTAATGTTGATGTATTTTTGGACATTTGCATGGTCACGCTTTAATATGTCCTTTTAAAGAATAAGCATCTTTTATATGGAATGCCGGTGCAAGTTGTGTCAAAACTTCATCGACAATGTCATATTAAAATCTGTGCTTTTAGCAGTAACCCAAAAGGGGGGGCGGAAAAAAAAAGCTCATGAACAAAGCTCTTGTTGACAAAGGTTGGTCGTGTGATTTATGTTATGTGTTGATGGTGCCCTTGCTTTTCATTATTAAGCTCTTAAGAAATGAATAAGATTCATATTCATGCGATTTGATACAGTGCTGCTCTAACGCAACACCTCATCAACACCATTATCCTCGCACTCCCAGTTGCTAGTTGCCGTCTGGCATCCGACTCCCTTGACTTCTTTTGTCTCTCTACACTACAAAAGCTCTAGTGTTGTGTTCGTTCCGCAGCTCAAAATGTACTAATCTCGCCTAAAACATCATTTTTCAGAAAAAAATGGTTTTTTTTTTGTTTGTCAAAATTGGTTTTCTGGTAAAAAATTAATAGAAAATTTCTTTTATGATCCATAAAATAGATTGTATTACAAATAATGCTAGTTGCAAGATGAGCTATATAACTAATTTCATAGTAGTTATAGGAACATTATGATCCAAATACCTGTGGAGGTTGGCCAAGGCGTGTCGAGGCCGGAGAAGATGACGACGCTGGGACGGCGGCGTCGGCTCGAGGGAGGTACTGAGAGAAGGTGGCGGAGAACGAGCTCTCCTCCTCTATGATTAGTGTTCTTCTTCCTTCGTCGTCGTTTCTTCTTCCTCTTCGATCCTTCGTCGGATGCTTTGTGTGTCTCGGACTCGGTGAGAGTTTCCGCCGTATTCCTAATCATTGTGGAGTGAGTTCAATCAAACAACCCACATAACTTCTAATTCCCGGTGAAATTACCAAATCAATAGTTTCCTTACGATACGTTGACACAGTTCGGGCTCGAACCTGATCTCAACCCGAGCTCGAACCAGGAAAGCCTGGTTCAAACTTGGCTTGGTTGCACCCCCACCAGCTCAGCCACCGTTTGGCTTTTCTCCTCCATCCTTGTGCACTCTCCTCTCGGACACTGGCCTCCATCTTGCAACCCTCGATACCTTCGCAGAGAGTTCTTGGCGACCGATGGCCGGAAAGCCGCTACCCTCCGCGGCCACGGCCGCCTGCTCCATCCAGCGCTCTCTCCTTGCTGTCGCTGCCCTTACCCTGATCTGCTTCAGCCTCCTCTCTCTCAGATCCCTCCGCTCGTCTCCCCAATTTCCCTCCCCGGAGGTACTGGAAGTATAACAAGAAGATCTCTCTCTCTCTTTTGTGTCGTATTCTCCTTCTGTTCTTTCATTTCCTGCAATGTCACTGATTCTTGATGCTGAAGGTGGCTGTGGCCGAAGTTTCCAGCGATCTTTCCAGCCGGATGCTGGCCCCTTCCTCGATCTACCACTCCCCGGACGTCTTCTTGAAGAACTACGCGGAGATGGAGAGGAAATTTAAGGTTTTTATCTACCCGGATGGGGATCCGAATACCTACTTCCAGACACCGCGGAAGCTGACTGGGAAGTACTCCAGCGAGGGGTACTTCTTCCAGAACATCCGCGAGAGCCGCTTCCGGACGGAGGATGCCGATCAGGCCGACCTGTTCTTTGTGCCCATATCGTGCCATAAGATGAGAGGGAAGGTTAGAGTTTTCGAGATCTTTGTGCTTCGTTCCACATCTTTTTATTGTCACTGTAACCTCTGTATCTATGCACTTTTGATTCTTTCGTTCATCTAGGATACTTTCAGCTTACTAGTTAACACTAAGTATTATCATTACATCATTTTGGCTGTACAAGGTTTCGTATGTGATTTAATGTGGTATATTTACTAGGTGTGTTATATATATGGTCCGTAATTGCAATAGGAAAGGGACAGAAAGAACGAATCCAATATGTGAATATTCTCTGCCAAAAACCTGTACCTCCTACAGGCAACTGATTATAGTTTTAGTTTAAATGACTCTCAACTGATTCAGAAAAATCTAGAGGCTCAGCCAATACAAGAACAACGTAATGTTGGATCAATTATACGGTTCTACCGTACCTATTCCAGTTAACTATGTCGAAGGGAAGTATAATATACTCACTGATGACGGTCTGTTTCAGACGTTCATTTATGCATGTCATGCCAGAATGTTTACGTTTTCTATAAATTATGGATGCATCAAAAAGTAGGTCCTACAATATGTGAATATGCTCTGCCAAAAACCTTTACCTCCTACAGGCAAATGATTATAATTTTAGTTTAAATGACTCACAATGGATTCAGAAAACTCTAGAGGCTCAGCCAATACAAGAACAACATAATGTTGGATCAATTATAGTGTTCTACCATACCCATTCCAGTTAACTATGTCAAAGAGAAGTATAATATACTCACTGATGATGGGCATGTTTCAGACTTTCATTTATGCACGTCATGCCAGAATGTTTACGTTTTCTATGAATTATGGATGCATCAAAGAGTAGGTCCTACATATTATTTTTACATGGGATGATGTTACAGTCATTTGGGAAAATTGTCTATCAAATTTGGATATGGCCATAGTTTGTTTGCTGAACAAGAAGGCTTTTACTGCATTTTGGTTGATCTTTTTCCTTTGTACATTTTTTTTTTTTCTGTTTTGCAGGGCATATCATATGAGAATATGACCATCATAGTTCAAAATTATGTTGAAAGCTTGATAAGTAAATATCCATATTGGAATAGAACCATGGGTGCAGATCACTTTTTTGTAACTTGCCATGATGTTGGTGTGAGAGCATTTGAAGGACTTCAAATGGTTGTAAAGAATTCAATTCGGGTTGTCTGTTCGCCAAGCTATGATGTTGGTTACATCCCACACAAGGATATAGCTCTTCCCCAAGTGCTGCAGCCATTTGCTCTGCCATCAGGAGGAAATGATATTGAGAACAGGTTGAAACCTGACTTGTGCAGATGTTTCTTTTACATGATTGGTTCTAGGGCACAGGTAATAGACATCATGTGACAGTTATAGCTGGGGATTTATGTTATTGATCATTGGGTTAATCGCGTTATACCAACCTACATGATCCAGCTTCTGTATTTACATCCAATGCTGATTAATATACTGGCATTGTGTTGTACATATATATTGATTTATTTAACTTCAATTATTTTCATTGTTGCAATTTGAGGAGTGCACCAAAAAGTGTTTTATCTGCATTTCTAAATGTGTTAACCTATAGTTCAGTTAGCATACTTGTTTGCCTCAAAGCCTAGTCAATTCATTGTGACCTTAGAATAAAAGACAATGGCCATGCACTGATAACTTGCTTTTCTTGAACCCTTACACAAACACCAGGACTATACTTGGATTTTGGGCAGGCCATAGAAACTCAAAGATAAGAGTCATATTAGCTCGTGTATGGGAGAATGACACAGAGCTTGCCATTAGCAATAATCGCATAAGCAGAGCTACTGGAGAGTTGGTCTATCAGAAGCAGTTCTACAGGACGAAGTTCTGCATATGTCCAGGTGGTTCCCAAGTCAACAGTGCTCGCATAGCAGACTCCATTCACTATGGATGTATTCCAGGTTAGAACCCCATCATTTAATTACTCAGGTAGATGGATATATTATCATCGTGTAGTCCTAGTTCATTTGAATTTGTTATCTGCTGTTGTTTTCTACATAAGTGCAGTTTGCTAACCAGAGTTCATTTTTCCAATTTGCAGTCATTATATCCAATTACTATGATCTGCCATTTAATGACATCCTTGACTGGCAGAAGTTCTCTGTTATACTCAAGGAGAGTGATGTCTACCAGCTTAAGTCTATTCTGAAGTCCATACCACATGAGAAGTTTGTTGAGTTGCATGAGCACTTAGTTGAGGTATGCCATCATTAATTTCTAGTAATGAGACATAAGATCGACTGGCTGGAGAAGTGCTTAAACCCAATTCTATCAGCAAATTATATCGCTAGTTGAACTTTGGAGAAAATTTCAGTTGTGGAGATAAACTTCCAATGTTTTCCAATTGACACTAAATGTTAACAAAAGATACAATCATATCCTGCCGTCAGCTTTCATTTAAGCCTTGATGAAAAGCTGAATTGTGGTTGCACATTAGGACTTGACCTGCCATCCTGGTAAGAGCTTTAACAAAAGATGTTGCGCAACGTGCCCATTATAAATCAAGGCAAGGCAAGTCTAATTATACCTCTAAAATTTTTTGTTGTCTATGCCAAGTTGGAAAGTCAGATCTTATTATGCAACAAGGCCAACTTTCCTTAAGGTTCATGGATGAAAGTTGATTCTATGACTTGATGGAAATTACTTAAAACTTTAGGAAGTCTATTGGCGAAAGTTGAAGCTAGAGATCTAATTAAAATTTGCCCCAAAGCTCAAGAACTAGTGGTGTGTTTTGCTCTACTTTTAGTTGTTATACTGAAAATATCTGTATGTTCCATGCAATCAAAGTTCATTGTCTTTTTTAATATGGACTCTCTAAATCCCAAGTTGCTTCAAGATGAAGCATCAGAAATCAGCAAAGAGAAAATAGGAGGAAATGCTGCTAATAAAGAGCTAATGACGAGCCGTAATATCTGACTCTCATGTCCTTTGTGGTGAACTTGTAGTGTTGAGAAGAACATGAAGAGTACTTTGATTCTCAATTATTTCAGGATTTTCCTTGTGTTTGTCTTATAAAAAGAGAATAGTTACAAGAGGTGTAACTTCTATTGAAAAATGTAAAATGTTTTATTTGCTTCTATTTGTGAAATCTTAGACTCTTAAATATTTTATTTGCTTCAAATATGTGATGACTCTATGCATAGTTAATATTCATATCACCACGTGAATGTTTCTTACAAAGGATATATATATATATATATATATATGTATGTATATATATATATATATATGTATATATATACATATATACATATATATACATATATACATATATCTTCTTGATATTATTGAAGTTCAGGATCAGAAAGATATCTCTTGCAAGGTGCTGATGCTGATTTTTAAAGGAAAGTGGTGGTGCGTTTCAAGTTTACTGCACATTTGAGATTCTCTTAGAATCTTGATCATATCCTTGTATTTAGGGGAGAGAGAGAGAGAGTGTGTGTGTGGTCTGTGCTCAATGGCCGCAGAGAGATGAAGTATGGATTAAATGTTCATTCTAAACAAGCTTTATGTGAGACTCTAGTTTGTGGCTTTCTAGAAGAACACAAGAATGCAACAGTTAATCCCAAATATTAATATATATGCACGAAAACAATATTTTCTTTTGTTAAAAGAATAAAAAAGAATAGGCTCTGCTGAAGCCTTGGTTTGTGAAGAACTAAACCTAGATATCTAAGGGAAGCATGTTTGTTTCTTTGTAACTGGCATCCATGTTATCTGCTAGCCCCTTGGAAAATCACGACTACTGTGTTTGTGGCATTTGATCCAAAGCATCATTCACATCACTTTGCTTGTTAAATTGCACAGTTTAACACTTTTGCTTCGTCTTATCTGTTGTTTCATTTTTGTAGTATGTGAAACAGTCGTTTGATCTTCCCCTCTGCTTAATTCAGACTTTGAGTTTGGTAGATGGCAAGTAGAACTTTCTGTATGCAGTATCTTGAATTATCAAAATATGACACAAGTTTTGTGTAAATGGTATATGAAAGACATGCTCCATTAAAGGAAATAAATATAATTATTGACAAGTAACAATTGTAATGCCTGTCTTAAAGAAGGGTTACATTTAATAGCATCATAAGACTTCAAATGCCACCAATTGCTTTCATGTTTTAATTTTTCTTTCCCTTATTTTACTTTTGGTCTGTTTTCAGGTTCAGAAGCACTTTGAATGGCACTCACCTCCAATACCATACGATGCATTCCACATGGTAATGTACGAACTTTGGCTACGGCACCATGTCATCAAGTACTGAAAGCAAGTTCACAGACCATACAATTAATTCTGCTTTTTATTAAGTTGTGAAGTGGTACATAAGGGGCCCTGGATTTTGGTAGATATCCCTGCGGAAGGTTTGCAAGAATATATTCGGTTTTTCTCTCATCCATTCAATCAGACACATTAATCCAATATTTGATCACATAGAGAAGTAAGAACAGAAATGCAGGCGTAGGCACAAGCTCAGAACTTGCTGCTTAAGCATTTTCATATTCGGTTGGATATTCATCATTTTGCATTCACTGACAGAGGGGTGTGACAGAAAGTTGGCAGCAACCTGAGCTCAGAGGTAGATTGATCTCTGCTTGTCTCACTGCTGCCTTGCACTTGATCATGTAATTTGGATGGTACGCTCGAGTATCAGATCCGCGGTTTTTGCGTCTCATTATATCTGCATCGACTGTAATAATTTTGGATTTGCCCTTTGTCTGACCATCGAACAGGTGGTAGTTCCATCAGTTCTTGTATACTGTAAGCAGATGAGAGATGACAAAAAAACATAACTGGATGGTTTGTAATTGGAACGTAACTGGTGGAAGTATCTGTTTCATCATAATTTCTTCTGTAACCCATTTTCTTTTATCCTAATTGATTTGAATAGATACAGGGGAATCTAGGCTGCCTCCAGTATGCAACATAAGTTTCTGTTGCATTAGTATGTCTTCTCAGAGATGGAGGGGAAGATCGAGTAAACTACCAGAGACTGGTTGTCAGGTGAATTACTAATTCATATTCTTCTTTCTCTTGGAGGTAAGGCTTTGGATGTGACATCCAAAATTTTCCTTCTTTTAAATTTACAATATGTGAGAAACACATCATCGTAGTCCACCAACTTCCAAATCTAATATGTTGGTCAAATTTTGTGGGTTTCCGTGTGTTTGGACCTTAACCGATCTCTAATATTATTCGTACCATTCGTTTAAATGTTTCCTTTTTCCCTCTGTGCTCGATGTATCTGCAGGATAAAAGCATTCAGTGCGACCAATATGTACAAATCGAGCAAAACATCTATCTAATGCATCCACTCAGACAGAAACATTCAGAGGGCCCGATGCTCCAATCGTGCACTTAATGCAAGATCAAAGAAATCTTCATAGCTTTTTTATGGACATGATCTTTTAATACTCGTTAATTATATTTAGGTCCATAATTATCCCTATTAATGTTAAGATAATATTTATGTTGGGGTAGATACTGAAAGATGTTTCACATTAGTAAGAATTAAAAAAAATCAGGTGATATGCTACACTAGGTTTTACTCAAAATTTTACTTTACTCTTTTGAGTTCTTACCAAGTGGGATTATTATTATTATTATGTTTTGCTCCTCTTTCAATATCTATATATTCTCTTAAGATCACTCACTCCCCTATTCGTGTGATGATTGAGAAGGTCAAAATGCAGTTGTGACCAACATCTACCTCTCTTTTTTTTTTTGTTTTGAACCTTGACACTTATTCTATGTTGAGAATTTAAATCAAACTAGACAAGGTAAACACTAGATTTAACTCAAAAACTTAAATATGATAATGTAACTTGTCGTAATAGATACTTTATGAAGTGATAACAGGACACCCTCGAGAACCTGATACCAACTATAGTAGCTTACTCTTTCTAATAACCTCCCTAAATCGTGAGAGTAAAACAAGTGTAAGAGCGTTGGGCTCTTCTTTTTCCCACTCGGATCTTAAAGAAAATATGCTAGTTTCTTGATGCATCATTATATTTGGAGCTCAATTTGGCTACGTAAGATATAGTAGTGCATCCTTCCTCCCATGGTTCAATGGTTGGAATACGTTTAAACTTTAAAGACCTTTAGAATTTGTCCATCGGTATACCCTCCTTTGTACAAATCAATGACACCAGGGAAACGATAGCTGGGTTCACTGTAAGGGAGGGAACCTTACAGTGCGGGTGGAGTCGATGGAGAAGGCCATGAGAGGGGCCTAACGCAAGAAACATAGGGTTGCGAGTGCACAGTAGAGAAGTGTGGGTGTGGGAGGGCAAAGAGAGCCGGAAAAGGGGGGGAGGCCACGATGGGCCTGACCGTCGAACCAAGCGGGGCCATCTGGTAATGGAGGCTGATTCCATTACCATATTGATGATGATGATGATGATATCATGAGGACTAGAGAGAGGAAAGTTTTGCGTGATGATATGAGAATGCTCAAATGCCGGAAGATGATATAAATTCAGTCAAAACATTTAATTCTCGTGAGCAATTCACATTAGGAGAAGATTTACGGGCGAATCCCCCAACACCACATCAGCAAACTTTTGCGTGATCACAAACAAAGAGAAACCAACCAGCGTGCGGTTTGCAGAGATCTTGTTAGCACCGACGCAAGCGTCACAGCAGCCGTATTCTCGATGGCGGTCGCACCGATCATACTTGGAGAATTCGCTAATGAGATTGTATAGAGTACACAAATTGGTTATAGTCGCGGAACGACAAGATGTAACCTCAGTAGTCGGGGATGCAAGCATATGAATCAACCAAACAATCCTCTCCTCTTTCAGGACATGAATTATTTTTTGGTAGTCTTTGACTTGGAACACCCTGTGCATATTAAGTAAATCAAGTGAATTTCTCTACGATATGTTGTAGAATCTCAACAATTTTAATGTTGTAATCTTGCTGTTTCATTCAGGATGATCAAGGCAAGAACGGCAGAAAAATCATCGATTAACAAAAAACTCGATTTCAATCTGAAGAACTTCCTCACAATTTCATGATATTTAAGTGCAGCATTGACAACATAATAGGCAATAGGAGAAAGTGAAACCGGAGAAAATGTTTCTTTCAACTTCTTTTCTCTATCTACGGTAATGTATTCATAATATGAAATAAAAAAAAAGTCTCTTCATTTCAACAGCTCATCTTGTTGACCGCATGGCCGTAGCGTACTAGAATAAGGGATCAACGATGGGTAATAGAATCCCAGTGATGCCAGCTTCTTGATTTCTCCATCCTTCATACTGTAGCTGTGTACCTCGTCATATACCGTGAAAACAAGTAGCGTGGTAGTGGCCACCTCGCTCAGCGTGACGGAGCTCACGTTGAGTGGTTCCTCGAACCCCATCGGGGTTAAGCTTATCTCGTGCTTCTTCACCCATACTAGCACACCGTTGCTTCTCTTCTCCAGAAGCCACAGAGCGAACACCTGAGAAAACCTACGGTAATGGATCAGGCAAAGCGACTTTCCCTCCCACTTGGCGATCCCAATGACGTCAGAGGAGTCGATGGTTCTTCTTTTCGGCAGAGCGATGATCTGCGTGCACTCTGTCCTCATGTCGAAGGCGACGACGTACGGGTCAATCTTCATGTACGATCCCAAGTCCGACGCCCAGAATACGGTCTCGCCACAGACCACCGGGTGATCCATGTCTATTTCCCTCCCTCCAAAGTCGAGATGCTTGTCCATCGTCCATGTATTGGCCACCGAGTCGTAGACCCGGCAGTGGTGCAACGAGCTCCATTCATAGGTCGGTGAGAGGTAGACCAGCTTATAATCTTTCGTCACTCTGCCGCCATCGTTCGTGAAGCTCACCGCGATGCCACCCCTTGAACACTCGCCCGATGGGGTGGGTAGTTGATACCGAGTCCTACGGGCCGGGTTGAAGACATACAAGCTATGACGGGTAGCGTTGGACGATCCGTTGTTCTCATGCAAGACGAAGACAAGGCCACCGGCTGACCCAAGGATGAAGGCGTTGTTCTTGCTCAGAAATTGACGGCTGGTTCTGGGCACATCGGCGCAGGGGTCAACGAGGAGGAAGGACCTGAAGGTAGTGTAGCACTTAACAAAGAATCCGGAGATGGCTTTGCTGCGATATGATTGTGAAAGGAGGAAACGGGAATCTGACGAGAGCTGGTGGAAGGTCTTGCAGACAGATAGGAGTCCGAAGAAAGTCTTCGCCGGGAGGTAGGAGAGGATCTCTGCGAGCACGTCGTCGGGAAGGAGACAGCTTCCGGTTCCGGGTTTCTCCTGACCCACGAAGTCGATGCTAAGGCTATTCTTGTGCATACTCGTCATAGCTGCAGACAAGATGAACGAGGAAGACTAGACTCCTCCCTTCTTATATAGAGGGAGATTCGTAAACCGAATAGTATTAGGAATCTCACAGTAACACTACTACTAATAATACTATGAGATTCTTACTAATCCTACTAGTAATACTATGAGATTTGTAAACCGATTAGTATTAGGAATCTCACAGTTACGTAACCGTGAGATTCCTACTAATACTAGTCGGTTTACAAATCTCCCTGAAGGGAGGACGGAGTGCACGCTGAATGGGTGAAATGATGCTACACTTGATGCTTCGTTTGCTACCATGCAATAAAAAATGACCTATTTTGGATAGTTTTTAGGTTGTTTTTGCATCATGCAATGACTACAGTGGACGAGATGAGACCTCAGTCATCTCAACGATTGGAACACCTCTCTTTATTATCTTTTTTTGGTGCTATCATGGTAGTGATTGTGTGGAGTGAAAAGTCAACCGAGTTGGCTGCGCGTTAATTCCCACATCATTGAATTTTATACCTCCTGAAGTCGGGTTAAATTCGTGAGTGATAGGCCAAGTTCTATTATTGTATGCCTTATCCAACTAATGTTTTGAAGAAAAAAATAGGATAGTTTTATCATTTTAAAAAATAAAAGCTTTACTAGAAAAAAAATAACATAAAAAAGATGCTCCATGGAAAAAGACAAAAAAACAAAAGTTTTTTTTTTTATAAAGAAACTCACTCTACATGAAATGATAATCGGTCCTCGAAACATTTATCGAATCAAAATGTTATGTACAAAAAAGATAGAAATAAAGTTTTTCTAGAAAAATTACCCTACATATAGTTTCACATAACGAGTTCATGAAAATAACAATTGGTCGTTGAAACATTTTTCCAATCCAAGTTTTGGGTTGATAAAACTAGTTCGGTTGATTCAACTGAATGATTTGAAAAGGAAAAAATATAATTAGAAAGATAAAAGATTATACTCATATTTATAGAATTATACTCCTTAGCCTACTAGGACTATGACTCCAAAAAAAAAAAAAAGTAAATCAAATAAGACTCCTAGCTGAATTCTAGCTGACTCTTGTTAAGACTATAATTCAGCCGACTCGTACGGAGATTAGGAAACTCAAAAAGAACTTACTTTTACATTAGCTTAAGACTCAAAAAATTTCAAGGGATCCTACATTTCTCCTCCCTTCAAATCAGCCTTGTCCTCAAGATTAAGCACTATCAAATTTCAGAAACTTTTCCTTCAGTGCCTTGTAGGACTTTCAATAGGCATCTACAATTGGTAAGCTAGCCCATTGCATTAGTAATTTAGTCACATGATATCTGCAACGCATCACAACCCATCGATCAAATATAGCTTGTGGTTAAATTTGAACCTCACCAACGGAAGATATGTTTGGCAAATGGTGTTGCACCACCTCATCTTCACCTAGCTTCTTCTTGAGGTAGAAAACATGAAAAACTGGGTGTATCATAGAGCTTGAAGGCAACTCTAAGCGATAGGCAATTGGACTAATGCATTCTAATACTTTATAAGGCCAAAAAAAAAATTGAGTAGACAACTTCATAGAAGATTGAACCTTTATAGAGGTTTGCTTGTAGGGCCGAGGACAAAGGAAAACCCAATCACCCACTATAAATTCTTGTTCACTTTAGTGTTTATCAACTTGCTGCTTCATTATTGCTTGTGAGACTACGAGGTTACCATTTAGGAGTTGAATAATCTTGTCCTTGTTAAGTAATTTCTTGTCCACTCGATCAACTTTAGAAGAGTCGGGCATGTATTTGTAATTATGGGAGGGGTTCAATCATAAACTGCTTCGAAATGAGTCATTTTAATAGAAGAGTGATAAGAAGTATTATATCATCGTTGTGTCCAAGGAAATCATTTAGTACATTCCTTCGGTTTATCACTGGTAAAGCATCTGAGATAGTTTTCTAGGCATATATTTATCACTACAGTTTGCTCATCTATTTGTCAGTACTCATATTCAGCTTGATAACCTATAAACAAAAAAGCCCTATCTAAAAGGAGCTATTAAAAACTTTATCTGTCATTGACAATGAAACGGGAAACTACATGTAATTTAACTATGTTCTTGATAAAAATATGGACAACATATGCAATAATATCGTATAGGATAGAAATGAGCATCCACGACAAAGATATAGTTTTCCCGAAGAGAAAGAGGCCGAGGCAAGCTGAGAGCCTGTGGCCATTGCCCTGCTGTTTCTTCTCAGGGAGATATCATAGATTAGAATATGTCCGACATGGGATGATTCGTTTCTGGTGCTTTGCTTCTCAGTTGTCGTGTAATAGAATGTAACCAAAATGTTTGACACGAGATTGGAAGATGGTCTCATTTACGGCATCCTGACATAATACGTTCCTTAAAGATCGGATGATCGATGCTTATTGAGTAGTTGATACATTTAATATTTTGAGAACAATGCTAATAAAGGGTAATTAATTATCAACACAATTTATCTATATGAAGAATGGATCAAGTTTATGTTATAAGGGAATGGACCGCAGAACCAGATATGCCTCCATATTAATCCGAGGAGCGAGCATAGGCATTTGATTCTGAACTCCCTACAATGGCTTATCTCCTCCTCTCTTTCTTCTCTATATTTCCTGCTGTCATAGTTTTATCTTTATCTTTATCTTCTCTCTCTCTCTCTCTCTCTCTCTCTCTCTTTTATGGAGGAAGAATAAACTGCATTTTTATTGATGGTTCAATTTATACAACTGGGAAACCTAAATGAACATTCATGGACCATAAGCTTCGGAAAATAAGAAAAACAATGGTTGTAGTCCTACTGAAACCCTAGAAGACGAGGTTTTTAACCAAACCATCACGATGGGTAGTTTGAACATCATGAAGAGAATATTATGCATTAAATGAAAACAGAATAAGTCAGGGTACAGCATGTAAATTCACTTATGAGATCTGGCACACCTTGAAATCTTTATAGGACCTTTTATGAAATGTGGCATGGGGCATCTCCGAAGATGTTCGGTAAAGAGACAAGAGCTTTAAAATTAAGCTTCTAATAATGTCACAAAAATTTGTACCCAGAACAATTGATTAGAAATTTGTCAAATGTGACAATTAAATCTCAACATCTTGAAAAGCCGATGTTTGTCAAAATTTCCATATGCAAACATCCCTTGGAATACAAAACCCTAACCTGAAACAGGCAAGTGCACAACTATATCATTCTGAAACTTACTGCAGTGTACCAGAAATAATTGGCTTCCCCTTAAGCTGCAGCTCCTGCACCCTTGCCCTTCTTTCGCTGGATCTTCTTCATGTAGAACTCAAGCTCCTTTCCTTCCAGTATGTATCTGTGCATCACGATTATCAAATCCATTAGATCAAACAGTAGAGAAATCATCATGGATAATAGGAAAAGATTAAAAAGAAAATACTTCCTACCCATCAGCTCTCCCGCACTGGCCAGGGCGTGAAGAAATACAAGCTAACAACCTTCCAGCACCAAATTGCTCCTCGATGTGGGGATCAAGTGTACGGCCCTGCTGTCGCTTCTCCAGCTTCCTGGTTACATGGTTGCTCTTCTTTGCTTCCTCTGCTGCAGCTTCACCCTCCGGTACCTGACATAGGGCAACGAAGAAAAAAAAAATTAAGGCAGATAACATCAATCAATTTTAGCAAAGATGAAAAATACAGTCTGGAACGTAGTGATGATTCACCATGAAAGATCTAAAGATGGAACCAAGCACATAGAAGATGGTCATATAGAAAAATTACTGCAAATGCCCCCTTAAATTATTTATGCAACTTTCTTTGGAGTATAAGAAAGTCTGCTGTACTGTAGCAACATATAGTTTTAATATAACTGATGGAACCATAAATATTAACAAAATCCAAATACTGCAGTTTTCCAGGTAGATAAGACTGCAATAGTATATATTATAGTGTGTGCAATATGAAGCAACTCAATTTAGATTGGCATACCAAAACTATATAGTGGCACTGAAGTCCTATAAAAGACAGACACTGATACTGTGTGCCACTCCCCAACTTGAAGTGTAAAAGGATTGAATAAGATAAATCCTTATATCAAACTCTATCACCAGTTTGAAACAAAATCTCACCAACTGCATGCTGATGTGATCTTAAATCATGCAAACTGGGAACCATACCTACAAGTAAAAAACTACACAAAGGGATCTAAACAATCAGCAGAACCATAAGGACAATTCTAATTTTAGCAAAACTAAGAAACACCAAATAAAGTTGTCTCTTAAATAAATGTCATGTTCCCAACTTCAGATATAGCTAACTTGATAAACTGACTTGCAATGCAGATCAGACTGCAGATGAACAAAAATTGGGGTCACCAAATATTTGATGCCATCCAAATAAGATTGCACCTAAACATATACCAACACTTTGATTCATAATCCACTTTTTGCCAACAATGTAACAAGAACTTAGGACTTGTTATCAAGGAAGAGACAGGTCCTTATTTGAATCCATTGGTTGACATCGAATAATATCCTACGTAAAAGTGCTTATGGATATCATAGAAAGTCCATGGAGCTACACAAAATGCCATCAAGTGAGCTGATAAATAAAAATTCTAACCAAACCTCACTACTTTGAATTTTTCCTCAATTAAAAACTCATAACCATAATGGTTTTGGAATTTCAAGTCTACTTCAAGAACAAGCTGCATATGTACCATTGGACAACCATATTTTAAACCTCAAATGAAATAGTTTGCTGCATGATCACCCAATTATGAAATCTTTGAATCTGTCACCTTTTTCTCCACTCAATCTTCAAAATTCAAAACTATTGTTTCAAAGGAAATACGTAAATAGTGGGACTCCCAATAATAAGTTCTGGGAATGGCAAGAATACCCTGCAATAGAAGCTCCGGCAAGCAACTAAACAGACTCTTATGCACATATAATATAAATGGAAAGGTGGTGAAGAAGCCGGTGTACCACCATAGTCAGATTGTCCGAGCACATACCGTACTCTTGAAATCACAAAATATAAAATCAAGAAAAGCCAGATACAAAAAGGCGAATATATGTTTACTATCACTGACTAATTGGCTCCAGAGAAGTTCAAGATTGTAACAAAACCAGTAAATATCATTTTGAATCAAACAAAGCAATCCTGCAGAAGGCCTAAGGTATACAGCAGTCGCCTCAGTGAAATCAGAATTACATGGTACATAGTGAAACAAGTAGATTCTTTTAATAGTGTACAATGAATTAACAAACTATTTCAAATATGATATCATAAATTAATTCATAAAACATTTTAAATATGATGAATGCATCTTAGATGAGCCATTGGCGGTCCCATGTAAAAAACTCCTACAAATGAGCGGTCCAAAGAGGACTATTGTTCGCTATATTTACAACTCAACTCTCCATCATCTATATTGCAAGGCAACAACCTTATTGTGACACCTAGCCTCGCCCTCACCTTAGATGAGGAATGTTACTCTCTTTAGATCAGAAAATGAGTCTTCAGACATGTAGAAAAGACTATGCACATATAAATTAAGCTATGAACTAAAATTCTAATAAAGAGAAGCACCAAGGTTAAAAAAAGGTAAGAGTAAATTGAATTTAAAGAACAATAAAAACATAAAATAACAAGGATCCACCTCTGTTGCCTCCTTCTTGGCGGCTGCAGGGGCCTTCTTTTTCCTACCAATCTCGACACCGTAATGCTGGAGGTACCAATGCTTGAAGGGGGTAGCATCAACCTGCACGATGGCACTCTTCACAAGGGTCTGCGTCCTCACAAGTTCGTTGTTCGAAGCATTGTAGACCACATCAAGGATACGGGTCTTGCGAGTCACAGCCTCACTCCCCCATGAGTAATTCCCAGTGTCCAACCGGAGGGCCCTCCACTTCACATTGCCTCCTCGCACTCGAACCCTCCTCACTGTTTTGTTGCTGGAGAGTTTTGTGTTCGCCGGCTGCCTTCCCAATTCATACCTTTCAAAGGATAAAAACAGATACAAAAACAAATTTAAATATAATAAAAGAAATTAAACCAAGGTGACTAAACACTCAAATTAGATCAAATAAATGTCTAATAGCACAAAAGACAATCAACAAATTACATCAGGAATCGAACCTTGCTGGATCAACAGCAAGAATAAATCGAAGCCATAGTAATTCGAACAAATAAAGAACTCGTAAAAATTCACACGTCAAAACCCTGTCTCTTCGTTGGATACTTGGGGAAATCAAACAAAAGTGCACGAAAACCCAACTGCAAGCGAATAATAAAAATACGAGATTGAGGTACAAAAGCAACGCAACGACCTATGGTTAACCGGCTGAACAGAACAACCAGTTGAGAGAAGGAAGGTCATCAATCAGAAGAGAGAGAGGGAGAGGGAGAGGGGTCTCACTTTCTCTTCTTCCTCCATGCCTTCTTCTTGCCCCCAGTAGCGCGCCTCTTGTGCATGGAGTCCCGCGAGATACCTGCGAGCATAAGGAGAGGGAGAGCGTCATGGACGTGAGCAACAAGATGAAGACTAAGCTAACAGATCTTGGGGTTCCGAATCGTCGAATTCGAGGACGATTCCCAGACGAAGGCTTCGGATCCTTACCCATTTTGGCCGAGCGGTGGCGAGAAGCGCTTCGATTTCTCTCCTCGGAACTTCGCCGCCGCTAGCCGTCGCACTTAGCGTTCAACACGTAATATATATAGACCCCAAAAACCCTAAGGTGATCCCGCCTGCACCAGAGATGCACGTATGAGCAATGGAAAGCAAGCCATGGTGTCGCCCTCGTGGATGCTTATGTGGCAGAGTCGCGAAGTTTCTATTAACGGGTCGGATACAGGTCCTTGTTTTGGATTCACAAGCTTATCGGATTTGGATATTGATTTCAAGTGGATCAACCTAATGCAATGTACTAACAACATTTGGATGGTCCTAATGGCATATCTAAGTAATTATAAATGATACATTTACTAAATTTGATTCGACATGCTTGCAAGAGGTTTTCTCTGTCCGTCAGTAAAAGATTATTTTTTTTATTAGATTAAAAAAATGATTAGTGAGTGTTCATAATATAGTTTAATGTTATATATATATATATATATATATACTAATGACAATATATGCTCGACATCTCTGCAACATGACTAGAGTTTTGACTTCCAACAGGTGGACATCAAACCCTGAAGCAATCTTATGATTTTCGAATTTAGTGTAACTATTGCTGTCTACATGGAGATTCATCATACTAATTAATTCATGCTCGTGCCATGGACAAAGCAACGTTTCTAATTGCAAGTGTCCTGCGACAGTGCAATGTAGAGACTGGTTATCCATCTTTCTGGCAGGTTTAGATCGATATGGCACAAAGCAGTAAACTGGTTATCTATCTATTGATCAATATAGTCATCAGAATCTAATTAATTATATTATATATATCTTAAGTCCGATCGGATCACCTGTATTATTCATATATAGGTAGCAACTACATTAAAAATGATTTTGTATCTTGTTCTAGCTATCAGTTCTAAGCTGCTTCTTTATCTTGCTTTCCATTCTCCTAGATTATTTCTTTTTTGTTGCAGAAAGTTGCTCTCCCTATTTGTACAGTGGCCTTTTCTCTTATCCTTTGCTTTAGAGTCATACAAGACGATAAAATTGTATGAACGGAAACTTAATTTGAACAGTAACAGATCCAACCTCAAGGTTTCCTTCAGCTTCTCAATCTATATATATTTGCTTCATGATCAACGTATACAGCTCACTATCTTTTTCTCTTGCATTAGCAGGGCTGGGAACAACCTTCTAGGGTTTCATCATTCGTCATCTGACCTATGTATAATGGATTCCGATGAGTCCACAGGAGGAACCTTGGGAGCATGCTGATGCCACAGTTCGTCAAAGCATCTGCAGACAAACCTGATTTCTCTTGCACTAGTTATGAATACTTCTCAGAAATATACACAACTCCATGCATGGTTGGAAGATGACTTTGCAGCCAGGCGTTAATTACCTTCCATCAGTTCTGAATGATCTTGACGAGGATGTGTCTACCAACACTGCAGTAGGCAGAGGAGATAGCAGCTTGGCTTAAACAAAGAGCACCAAGGGCAATGGTGCATCCATGTTGTTATCCTTATGATTTTATGATAATTCATATATAATAGAAGTCTACAGCCGAGAATTAAGAAAATTATTTCATGAAGTTGGACCCAAAATTTAGCTTTTATTTATTTATTTATTTATTTTTAAGAAAGAAAGGATAAGGTGGTGGCCATCAGGGTACAACAATCAGTACATTGAACCTGGACATGCTTTGGCACATTCCACGTACCTAGACGACCCCAAACAAGATTCGACACGGATTAAGCTCCTCTTTATATTGCCTCGTCCATCACCTGCCACTGCACTCGCTCCCCTGCGATGTGCGAGCCCGCACTCCATCACGTGCGAGAGCCCAGCATCAAGGCTTGTGCACGGGCATATACCGTCGCATAGCCGAACCATTCCACCTGGCACTCGGTATATCCCTCACCTCCTTCCTCGCCATTCCATAACCCCATCACCTTACATCTTGACTGCTCATAGACAAGCATCCACTGACCAATAGAGGAAGAGTGGACAATGCCATGAATATTCCTGTGGTAATCTCTCTCCTCGCTCTCTCTCTCTCTCTCTCTACACTAATAAAATGTCGTCACCTTCTCCACATTATTGTACTACAAAAAATGGTGACTCCATGATGACTCTCCAGTGTTGACAGCATATATCCATCTCCTTCCCTGTAAAAGAGTCTTCTCCTCGCCCTTTGAAGCCCCTGAAATGGCAGTTTCCATGAGGGCCAAGCGGGTGACCGATCCCCTCGGGGAGGATGCGAGGGCTCGTCTCCGAGGCTACGATCGCCGCCGGCTGACTGGCTATGCCAGCAGCGGCAGCGATCACGAGGCCTTGTCCAGCCTCGTCCATGCCTTCTTCGAGTGCGACGACTGCGACTCCCCCTCTGCGGCAGACGCTGCTGCTGCTGGTGAGCCTGGTGACCGGATGTCCGACTCGGATGGAGGAGATCAGTCCGAGAAGGCAGCGGCTGCGGTGGGAGAACTGGTCGGTGGGTGGAGGAAGAGCGACGACCCTTTCCGCCTCCGCCTCCTCTCTGACGCCTCCAAGGCCGCGGATGCCATGGCGACGCTGAGGTCGAGCGCTTTCGGGTATCGCCGGGCGGTCATGGCGCTGCTGAGGGAGATGGGTTACGACGCTGGGATATGCAAGGCGAGGTGGGAGAGCTCCGGGAACTTGGTCCACGGGAGTTACGAGTACATCGACGTGGTGGTGCCGGCGGCAGCGCCTGCGGGAAAGGAGGGGAAGGAAGATCGGCGCTACATCGTGGACCTGGGCTTCGCCGCGGAGTTCAAGGTGGCTCGAGCGACGGAGGCTTACGAAAACGTGGTGGCGGCGCTTCCGGAAATGATGGTGGCGCAGCCGGAGGAGGTGAAGCAGGTGGTGCGGATGGTGGGGGATGCGGGGCGGCGGTCGCTCAAGTCACAGGGCCTGCACGTGCCGCCGTGGCGGAAGGGGAGGTACATAATGGCTAAGTGGCTGGGGCCGTACCGGAGGACGGTCAACGCGGTCCCGGCGTCCGCCGCGCCCTCGGGGGCCGGCGGCGCCGAGGCCAAGTGTCGAGCCGTGGGATTCACGGCGGCCAAGGGCACCATCATTTGCTGAAGCGAAGGATCGGGATAGGATATGCGGCGGACGACAGCGAGTCGGTGTTGGGGAGAAACGTGTCAATCATGTGACGGAATTGGAATTAAAGCAGATGATGACTGCCTTATTTAATATATATATATATGTATATATATATATATATATATATATATATATATATATATATATATATATAATATTTTCTCTTTCATTTAAATTTTGTGAAGATATTGCCACTTGATTGTATTCTTGCCAAATTGTTGTACTATTTGGCATTGATGTACTGTGAATCACGGTTAAGTGGAAATGACATTAAGCTTATGACAGCAATTTGTATAAGTTCCAAGCATGTTCGTCCTGTAAAATGCCAAATAAAACTCTCTTCTTGTGTAGTATGTTGGAAACTCATAATTCATTTAGTATGCTCCATATGTCTTGTTGGCGTAAACAAGTTTAAGCCATGGCCTCGGGGTCGACACGGCTTGGTTCAGGTCCGAATGATGGGAGATCTTCCCGGGGCGGCCCTTGAGATCGCTGAAGTGGCCGATTGCGATGGTCCGATCGAGACGGGATCGCTGCTTCCTCCGGGAGGGAACTCCTCGCCTGAGCGTCTAGTGGGAGGCCTCCGTCTTCACACCTGCACACAGGTCGGGTCGGAGGAGCTCGGCCCGACCCCTCCGACGATCAAGTTAGTGAATAATCGCAGGGGGTTTTTTATTTGTGTTGTGTCCTCCCTCATTTCCTTGGAGCGCGAGGGTTTTTATAATGAGGGTTACCGTTGCGTGATGTGCCTGCCCGTAGGGAGCAGGATCGTACTTCTGGTAGTGTCTGACATCGATGTTGGCGTGGCGTAAAGGATCGAGCCTGAGCAGGGTGTTAATGTGCCTTGGTCGGCGTTCCGGTCCGCGTTGACCAGGTGCTGACAGGTCAATAGAGGCGTGAGGCGTCATCTGGGGCAGCTGACATCACCCGAGTCTTATCGTCATTATTACCCTCATCATATTCCCCCCCGAAGGAAGCTATGTGTCGGTTGCTGTAAAAGGGGGGTCCGAGGCATGACTTCAGCTTTAAGAAACTATCCCTGTTGGGCGGTTGCCAGCCCGTTACCAGGGGTGTGGGAATTGTGGAGTTTAGTAACTAAGGAGGGTTGGATGTGCAGCGGTGGCCTTGGGCAGTATGCGGCCGAGGAGCGTGGCTCGGGCAGGCAGGTCACACAGAGGTAGTGGTCTTGGGCAACATGCAGCCGAGGAGCACGACTCAGGCGGGCAGGTCGCACAAAGGTAGTAGTCTCGGGCAGCACGCAGCCGAGGAGCATGACTCAGGTGGGCAGTCCGCGCAGAGGTAGTGGTCTCGGGCAACACGCAGCCGAGGAGCACGACTCAGGCGGGTAGGCCGCGCAGAGGTAGTGGTCTCGGGCAACACGCAACCGAGGAGCACGACTCAGGCGGGCAGGCTGCGTAGAGGTAGTGGTCTCGAGCATCATGCAGTCGAGGAGCACGACTCAAGCGGGCAGGCCGCACAGAGGTAGTGGTCTCGGGCGACATGCAGCCGAGGAGCATGACTCAGGCGGGCAGGCTGCGCAGAGGTAGTGGTCTCGGGCGACATGCAGCCGAGGAGCATGACTCAGGCGGGCAGGCTGCGC